GGGGGGGACGGGAGCCTAGAAACGAGTGTGAGTCTCTGAGTGTGACGACCAAAGGCAGGAGCAGGAAGACACACGGCAGCAGCAGCAGCAGCAGCAGATTCCTCCTGCCTCCACTCAGCCTCTGCCTGCTCCAGCAGCCTTGATATACTTGCTGCCTCTCTGCCGTCTGTCTCCTCTGCACTTCTCAGCCTTCACTGTGAATCTGTGAAGTCAGGGAAACGCTTCTCTGCTGTGTTCATACATTCTTATTGGGTCTCTCCCTCTCTCACTCACTCACGCTCTCACTCTCCCTCCTTTTTCGTGTCGCTCTTCTGCTCAAGTAAAGGCACTTGCTGTGTGGAGGTGACGCTCAGCAGACCACAGCTGCAGAGATGGAGAAGAAGGAGAGGGGGAGAGAGAGAGGGACCGAGCAAAAGGGAGAGAGAGAGAGAGAGAGTTTTTCCAGGGGGGTGGAGAAAAGCAAAATAGGGAGGGAAGCCGAGCCAGCCTTCTACAGCTTAGCTGAATGCACAACTTCTTTCTTTCTCTCACTCCATCTCACCCTCTCACATCCCTCTCCTCTTTCCACATTGTGTCCTGTGCTGATATTCTCTTTTTTTTCTCAGGCGGTTTCTTCTCTTGGTTTCCTCCGCTTTTGAGAAGCCCATTAGGACTCTGAATATTCTTCTCTCCAACAGGCTAGAGGTGCTGGGGTAAAATGTGATCCAACGGCTAGTGGAGAGGGGGAGAGAAGGGGAGATGCTCTCCAGTATAACATGTTGAAAGCCAGCTTCCAGCGGGCATGTGTCTCAGTCCAGGGAGACGTGGGGAGGAAAGGAAGGGAAGGAGGGAGGTGTGCAGTGGCTCCTCCTGACAGAGAGTCTTTCTATTGATCTAGTGACAGAGCAGTGAATCAGGAGACGGAGATGGGCCCAAGACCAAAAGAGATGAGGGGGAAAGGGAGATGGGAAGGTACAGATGTGAGGAGGGCGGGTGAGACAGGAGATGGGTGAGATATGATTGAGAGGGTTGAAGAGGGGAGCAGAAGAGGTGAAGGGCTGGACTAAATGTCAAGTTCACTCGAAAACACCATCAATGTCTGGGTTCTATGGTGTATTTGTATGACAAAAATGAAATGTTATGTTTGTCTCTCCTCTCATGTCCAGTATATATCATAGACCAGCAGTTAGGTTGACCCAGTAGAACCAGTCCAGTGATAATGGTCCATTCTTAGAGGAACCAGACAGTAATCAGTTCAGTACTGAAGTTTGGAGCCATTTACTGCTCATGTCATGACTCACAGTTTTTAAAGATTTATCCTTTGGTTTTCTCTTCACTGTTGCTGTTTTTCACCCAACTGTGTAACAGAAACTAAACATAATGACAATTAACAATGCAGATTTTTTTTCACTGTCTTGAATGGATATGGATATGGCTACAGATTTACCATCTGTGGGTCCATCAACAGCTGCCACCCTGGCTGTAATGGCTGCTGCCTTGACTTAACCAAGGAAGTTGTTTTTTTACTGGTTTACTTTTGTATCGTGTCCCTCCTGTTGGTTCATCAACCCCAACTGAGCAGTGACAAATGCACTAATTGATTGTAGTGTTTGCAAATGTTGGCGTTTATGGTCCTCTAACATTGTTGTTTTTTTGTGGGGGTGGGGTTGTTGTTTTTTTGTAAGTTTGTTTTCACTCTATGACGGGCGTCATAAAATACATGGATCACTTCAGTTTAACTGCTACTAGTGCTTAAATGTAACTGCACACACATTAAACAGGTTGTTAGAGGCGATGGCTCATTAGTTAGAAAAATTGTGGCGTAATGAAAGGTCACTGGTCTGATCCCCTGACAGGCAGCAAATCTACTAATAACCGTCTGTAACTGAGTTTTCAAACATGACAGATGTCACTGCAGATCCTCCAGACCCGGTCCAGGTCCCAGGTTTATACAGCACCGTATAGGACATTGTTATAACAGACAAATAAACAAGCAAGCATATTTGACTTGCAAACCACTGGACAATCTTTGTTCACAAAAGCTTGTATGCAGCCTATTTACCACATTGAAAATTGCTTTGGGATGTGTGAATATATAATTGCTCCCTGCTCTTGTAAAACCACCACCAGTCCAGTCATATTAAGTGGTATTTTTTGCTGTTTTGTAAGTAGTAAAACTGGTTTGTTTCTGTGTGTTTAAAGTTCTGAAGTTTTATCAGTGGTAACAGTAAGTCGGAGCTGTCCGTGGTGCTGATACGCCTGGACGGCTGATTTAGGGGGAAGGTAGTGTTGATGATTATGAGATCTGGGTCAGTGCAGAGAGTATGGATTCTAAAGTCACTGAGTTTGCTTGGTACTGCGTCACAGCTCCCACAGGATCAGACTCAGGTGAAACGGTTTTTCTTTAACTTGAAAGTAACTGTTGGGTCAGTCAATGAGTTGATAACTTCTCTGTGCAGCAGCGCTACAGAAGAACTTCTGTCTATTAAAAAATGGGATTTTTGATTTAATTTTTTCTCTGTCTGGAATTTCTGTGCTGTACATTGTTGTAATGCACGACTTATAATCTCTGTGCAACAAACAGCGAAGCTAGGCTGGTTTTGGAGTATGAGTCATAACCGTCACTTTTACCTGCTCAGCAAATCACCTTCACTCTGTATTTGATTCATGAGCATTTAATGCTTCACTCCATTTTCTCTTAAGGGTATTGTCTATTTTCAGATAATGCTGATTTATGCACAGGTCCATGTTTTCAATATCAGTTGCTGTCAGGGTTCTTTGTCCTTTTTAATGTAATTATTCATTCACACAAACACAATAGGTGTTTTTTTTTTTGTTTTTTTATTAATGGAAAATGAATTGCCATCCAGGACTCTTCTTCTGTCCTCTCGTGCCCTCTCTCCATTGTCCAGCAGCCTCTGCTTAGCCTCCTACAGAAAAAAACTGTCCTTGGCTCCTTTACAGAGACACTGCATCATCACTGTACAGCTCCTGGAAGGACAACACGCGACAAAAGAAGACAATAAAACACGAGTCACGTTTGTTGCTACAAAAAGCACCTACAGTCGAGAGAACAAAGAGAGAGCAGTGCTTTTGTCCTCTATTCATTCTCTGCAATGTTTAAAATACTGTTTTACTGCTCCAGAGAGGCTGGAGTTTGTGTCAACTTACAGACATAAATTCTTCTTTTTTTAAAAGTTTTGTCACAGTCTGGTGCTGATCAATGTAAAATCCTAAAGCCCAGTTTTAAATTCTTAGTGTTCAAGTTAGAATCCAGTCCCATGTGCCCGAGTCTGTCCTAGACTGGAGGTCCCACTAATTAGAGAATTGTTCTTTGGTAATGTTCAAATCATTATTCCAGTCCCAATCTGCCATTCTTTAAGTCAAAGTCCAGGTTTGAATTCCAAGTCCAAGTTATGAAGTAAAATAGTTCATAGAAGTATGTGGGTTTGGAGTCCTATGATGTCAAAGTTTTACCAAAGAAAAAAACAGAAAAAAAAACTTCTTGACTTTCTTACCATCACTTACCTCACCTGTCACACATGTCTTACCTTTAAAGACAAAATTATTCTAAGTCTTGAACAAAGCTTTACGGAGCCTTGATCATGTTTTCAGACCACTGAATCTGTGAAAGAAAATATTGTTTCTTTCAAATGTGTTTTCTTCTTGTGGCTGATTGCAATTGCGTCTCCAATCAACCGCCTATTCTTTCTCTCTACTCAGTGCTGACTGTTTGTCACTCCTCTGCTATACTTTTCCTGTTTTCTTTGTTTTTGACATTTTGATTTTTAGAGTGTTGGGTGATCAGAGGTATGATCTTGAATTTCAAAACCCCTAAATACAGAAAAAACACCTATTTCTTGTGCAAACACACACGCACCAACACACACAGCGTTTACAATTTATGTTCATTTCATCATTTCAAGGCTGGAGAAGATACTGGGTAATGCAAGAAGCTGGATAATTACAAAAGTATGCATCACTTAATGAATGGGCTGATTTGATTTCCTTTTTCATTTAGTCTGCAGATGATTTACTTAAGAATCAGGAGTGAAGCATGATTAGTTTCATTGTGCTGCCACACGAATTAAAGAGACCTGCCATTTGGAATCACAATGAGTCTCGTAGCTGGGATTTGGCTCCATGCACCATGTGCCTGTTTCCATCCACACCCTGTATTAAGAAGTTACTGTTTCACAAAAGAATCCAAACACCGGATGTGTCACAATTTGCAGACCCTTGGACACAAACGTTGATTAATTATTCTGGTTCGGCAACAAGGCGTCAGTGTCGGCGCGTTGCTTAAAAAAATAGGGAATTTACATCACCAAAGACAATTTGTACATGAAGCATATCAGTGGAAATGGGACAGATAAATCACATTAGCTGTAACCCTGAGTCGCCATCGATTACCTGCAGGGAAACAAATGGGGGCGTTAAGGCTTCCCATCCTTAAACGTCCCCATTCTGGCCGCCAAATGGGAAACAGGAAGAGGACGGGCTAAGTCCATATCCCTCTGGGACCATTAGATCAGTGAGGGCAGAGCAGACTGCCCTCCAAACCCACACTCACCAAAGATCCATGTTGGAGGAGGTGCAGGTCAACTCAACATATAAAATAACAACAGAATAGGAGGAGGGAGGCGGTTATTGCATTGTTTCCATGTCAGATTTAACACAGTGTCAGGTTGTATCTTAGAAAAGGATTTGAGGAGTGTTTTCTACAGATCTGATCAGTGCAGAGCAGAACTCAACCCAACAGAATTTGCATATGATTGATCT